ATTGAAGAGAGAAAACAAATAAACAATAAACTTGTTCATTATTAACACTTGTTCATTATTATTTTCTACAGTTTTTGTTTATACTTTACTGAATTCATATTGCATATTTCAATACACAACAATGCAAAGTAAAAATATAATAAATAAAATAAGACTACAATTTTATGAAAATTTATAATAGAGGAATAAATACAAACTAATTTAGAACACAACTTATACTGTATATAAATGCAACACTTGGATAAATATACAGCTCTGCTTGAGCAAAGACCATACTGTAGTTGATGGTGAATTATAATCTTCTGTTAAAGCATGAATGTGGCTAAACTTGTGTCGCAAGAACTGAGCAGAATTACATTCCTTTGTTCACTGTTGCTAAATCCAAACATGTACCTTAATGGGGAGGGGCTCGTCATTGAGGAGAGGGTGATGAAAAACAACTGCAGCCAGTATCAGGTGAGACTGTGGATCATTTCTGACAAACTCATCAAATTGATCTTCTGTATCAAAGCCACGCACTGAAAAAAGGACAAAAATGTACAGTTTGTTCATTTGAAGTGACTGAAATTTTGCATATAGAAGCACATGGAGAGCGTAGACCTCTGGATTAGCACTGGTCCAATATCAAATTAGTTTAACAGACCAGGATGTGACTTCATTTAATTAATGTGTTTTATGGAAAAGCTATCTTCGCTCTTTCTCTCAAAAAAGATCCTCTTACACTGGGACCCATCTGTCCACGCAGTTAACAACACTCCTGACACCTGCCCAAGCTTTAAGTGCTAGACTATATTATGACAAAAGGCAATGCAAAAAAACAGTGATGGCTGATAATCAATCCTACACAATGAAACAATAGACAGAATAAAGCCAAAGACAAGGGACCATGCTATGTCAGTGATAAACGACTCATTTTCATTTACAAAAAAATCTAATCTAATCTGTTATCAAAAAGCATTTAGACATTGCACAACCTGAACAAGGAGTATGTGAGTCCAAACTCTGGATCACTCACTACTGTAACATGATCAGAAAAGGAGGACAGCTGTCTGACCTAGCCTACTTTTAACAACATTTAATATTTTGGTTTAGGAATGTAACCACCAAACAAAACCTCCCCTTACAATATCCCAAGGATGTGATTATGGCTATGTCAACAGAAATTATTTATGATTACCATGCTTGGATGTCACAATGTTATATTGCCTGCAGGAAAAGCAAATACAATGCCTTTAAATATGTCAAAACAAGAGAGCTATCTGCCTTGATGATCCCAGCAAAAGAAAACATCAGCTGCATTTAAATGGACAGTGAAAATACAAGGGGAGTTGGTATCTAGCCTGAAGGAAAAGAAAAGTAAAAAGCATCAGTACTGCATCAGGTAAACAAAGGAGGAGGGTGTGGAAGCTTCGGTTTCCTAGCATGTATTCCCAGAGAAACCAGTATTCCCAGGTCAGTGCTGGGTAACATGACATCAGCAAACCACAAATAAGCAAATGGTAGCAGATTACTTCTGCTTCAGCTGTGAGTTGAAACATCTGTATGCGTATCTTTTACCCAATTATGTATGTTACGGGTAATTGGGCTACAAATAAATAAGCAAACTATGAAAATGGCCAATAGAAATTCTCTTACTCCTCCAAGATTATGCGTGAAAAAATTATGCACCCTTATAAACAGTAAAATGTACTTCTCACGCCACAAAATAAAAATACTTTCAAGCAACCAAAAATAAAGAAAATATTTAAAACACCCAAAAGACACATCAACAGCGGCAGTTTTAGCAGGTCTTTTGCTGTGTTAATGCATAAGACCACCATACTTGACCATGACTAGTTATTATCGTTATGCCATCTGAAAAAGACATAAAATAAAATCCATAAAATAAACGATAATATATTTCATCTCTGCTTTACCTGATGGGAGTTTCAGATTGGCACGCACATCCTCTGCCACCTGCCGCACCACACTGGAGTTGTGGGGGATGTATGCCAACTGCATTAAATGGAGCCAGGCATGGGGCAAAGTGTCCACTTGAAAAGATTCGTAAACAGTGGCATTTGGGAAGGTCGAGTTTGGCACCTTCTGACGTAGGCCGATAAGTATCCCCGAGAAGAGCAGTGGCAGGAGCATCTCGATTACAGTGACCAAAATTTTGCGTTTCTGAAAACAAATAAATAATGAGTACACTGTGTTGATTTATATATAGGCCAGACAAGCAGTGTATTTGAATAAGGTAGAAGAAAAAAGAGGAGGTACTTGTACATCTTTTTTAGTTATCGAAAATGCAATATCTAGATACTAACCTGAACAGTTTTAGAATGAGCTCTACATCTGTACCAGTATCAGACCGTGCAGAAATATTCAAAACCATTATTGAGCATCAAATTTATGATTCTGACAACACTACAGTATAATAATTAAATACAGCAGCTTCTTGGACTTTAGGTACGCTAGAGTGATTGGAATAGAAATCAACAAAGACAGTCCAGGATATATAAGGTAAATTTTATGAGTGAACGGAGACTGTGCTTTTATCACACAATCCATGAAATCTATGAGCCACGTTGACGGTTCACCTAGAGATTATTAACAGCAAGACGTCAATTTTTGAAAGGAAGTATAAACACTTTTATTCACAGATAAAAGACAATTGTAGCTTGTTTAAAAAAAAAATAACAAAAGATATTTGCTTTAGTTTTCCTGATCTTTCATATCAGTTTGACCAAACAAGTAAGAGCAAAAGGGACTGATGCAATAAAGTCACTCTCCATGATATGGTAACTGGAATAGCTTCAATTCCCAGTCTTCAAATGTTGTGAAATAACTACTAAGCCAGAGTCAACTAAAGTGTGTCTGTGCTAGATATCTTCAAGACAATAACAGCAAATAAAATAATATACCCATGCATGGATTCTGTTAGGCCTATTTGCTGACATGTTCAAATTATACGCTCTATACATATACATATACATATATAGTACACATACATTCTCATTCAGAGATAAAATAATTGATCTATCCATTAATTTTTAAGTTTTAATAATGTTATAAAGCTCAACTAGCCCAAAAGACATTTGAATTAGAATCCAAGTCCATGTTAATGCTTAAAGTCCTCACAGTATTGATTAGAGTTCATTTTAATTGTATGGTTGAATATTTTGTCTACTTTTGCTTGCACAACACTACCTTGTGATACATATTAGATGTCTAAATAGAACGCAACAAACCATACTTTACCAAGGGTTATAATAACAATAAGAATATGTGAGACATGTTGATGACACTGTTACTAAAAACACACCATATCCAAGTGGCTGGCTAACATCATCAGGGTGCAGACCAAAGCTTCCTCACGAAGAGACAATTAAAGCCTATAATATTTATATCACCTCAATCATATACATATTAAATACTGCCAAGATAGACTAAACATACTGACAACACATAAGCTGTAAACAGCCGGGAAACATACCTGCTGAAGATAGTTTTTCCACACCAGTAGCCTGAGTTGTCTGATGATCGCCATTTTTACTCATACAAAGGGGATCAGAAAGTAGGCTGGTGAGATTGGCTGAAAACAAAAATTTGCAAGAAATTTTAACAATAAACAAGTGCATAAATTCAAGTTGGCTTTAGTTAACAGGTTTCTATTCACTATAAAATAAAATAAAAAGAGAAGTTGATGTTGTAATGTTGAAATGTTGCAGCTGTAAGCATGATGTGGATTTTTTATTTTTATTTTAAAAGAAAAAAGACTAGCGTGTGTTTTAAAGTGCAGACAAGTGACTGGTTTGGACAAAATAAGCAAAATGGTCACATAAAAATAATAACAACAACAGAAGCTGGGGCAGATGAAAAAATATTTCTGAAAATGTATTAATGTATTTGTTTATTTAAAAGGGACAGAACCATGGATCTATTAAAATAACAGACAGAACAATAATGGACAGAACAGAGGCCAATGTTACATTTACAATAGGTACCAAGGCTATGTCTATATTACTCCTACTCAAGGGCTAATCTGCAGATCTGGTCCCTCATATAAAATAGACAAAACCTTACAACATGAAGCACAATACAACAAATTTACAATCAGACACATTAAAAATGGCTTTAGTGTTCACAGGTTTTGTTTAGTTTCAATCACTGTTTCACTTTGCACACTGGGTCAGATCTATATGAGTTTTCATTTCGGATGTGGTGTTCCAGATCTGTGGGCCTTTCACACTAAACATGCTCTGACCATTTTAACATATTTAATGGCTTTATGGTTGTCTAACAAATAGAGTGACAAAATACTGTAACATTTCCTTGTAAACAGAGTTAGCTTTTCTATTGGTCCAAACCATGCAAGGTAAATTCTGATTGGACAATGTATCTGCTATTCGTGTGAAGTCGCATAGATCCTGAGGGTGACTGGATAAATTTACAAAAAGGGCCTATATAATGTATTGAGTCACCAGTTGTAGCACTAAAAATAAATAAAATACATTAGTTATATTATATTCTGCTGTGAACAGACTCACCTTTGTTTGAGCGCAGATTCAAAACATGGATTGTTCAAGCTGTGATCACCTCTTCTTCCTGTTGGGGTAAAAAACAATTCCTCCTTTTGTCTGGATGTGGCAACTAAAGCATCTTGGTGGCGATATCCTTACTGGTTTTATTGAGGCTTTGTCAGTATTGGGCAAGTTTAGCCTGATCCCAGTGGTGTCCTTTCGCCCTTCTTTTCATTAGCTGCATATTAGCGCCGCGGTGACATTGCAGTAGCAGAAAAATGAGTCCGATCAGGCAAAAGCGACGAGGATCAACAAAACGCGTCACGTGACCAATAAGGAAGTGGTCACCTGACTTCACCCTTAAGATAAAAGTTCATATTTTCAGATTAGTAGGTCAGGAGGACAGCACTCCCAATATTAGTTTCATATACACGTTATACTTCAGATGGGTGACAATAGGAATAAATAAAACAAAAATGTATCTACATTTTCTGATAATATTTGTAAGAAAGCATTTATTTACATTTGTATTTATTTACAATGCACAAGAGTCTGCACAATCAAAAAATTAAAACTACCTTCCCTCATAAAAGCATTTAAGTACAATGGTGAAATTGTATACATCCTTACCTATAATACCATGGCTACAGGTGACTAGTCTTGAAAAACTTTTTCTTTGCCAGAAGAATTTTTAATTTTTGGTTTGGATCAACTTAGTTATAAAACTTAGTGTTTGCTCTTTCACTTCCCTTTTAAAATATTTTAATTTTTATTGATTGTGCAATCAGAGAAGTGTTAAATACAAGTTTCACAGGAGTCATTTGTCAGCACTGGCTCGAGTGTGCATGTAGAAATGTATTGGAACTGATGTTGTCATTTTTTATGGCCCCTTCATAACATAGCATATAAATAAGGACGTTACAGTACCTTTAGTAAAAACAAAATGTATGAACAGCAAAGTAAGTAACATTGTACAAGTTGTACAAACATCAGTGCATTAGAAACTGTGCTGAGCAACGTGTTTACAAAATTGGTCCTGAGGAATTTAATTTCCAGTGGTTTCAGAGGTAACCAGTTCACTGGTTATACTGTTAAGGCTTTTGAGGTATACTTTTCCAGTAAACATAACATACTCTATATGTTAATATTCATGTATTGTCTTGAGAGTCTTTTGGGCAATGATTATCTAGTGTATAGAGTGCTTAAACACAACTGACCATGCCATTTGCAAGTGTATCCACTCACAACCACTTTTCCTATAAACTCAGAAATCCAACACCATTTTCTTCTTCGTCTGTTCTGTCTACCTCACCTCCACTGTGAGCTGCTTTATTTTTTCTTTTAACTTGCTTGCTCGAAGTGCCTCTAGGTCGATGCATGGGCACTAGAAGACGGAAGCCGTGCTGAGCATTGGCAGAGGATGAGCCCAAATTAGAGGTGACATTTTTTAATGTGCAGGGGATGAGAGATGAGGAGGAGCATGATGAAGAGGGGCTCACACTTGAATATCCTGAACTCTGTAGATTAGCACATGATGAAATGCATGGTGAGCCTGTGGTCTCCACAAGTTCCTGGTCAGTCTCACAGATGCTGTCCTCATCACTGGACATAGCACGGCAGTGCAGCTGTCTGCTATCCGCATCAGTCACTGGGTGCAGTTTGAGAGAAATCATGGAGGCTGTTGGACAAAATTTATATTAACTAAGTACAATTACATAATTAATTCAATAAAACTATATAATGAACACTATGGTTTAGATGCATTTTAAGGACATGGTAGTGCTATAACAGGATGGTATAACACCGAGCCACTCACATTCAGCATCTTTTTCTCCTTCACTCTCCTCCTGATCCCCCTCGTATCCAGAACAGGAAGTGTCCAAGCTCCAGTCCAAGATATCTCCCAGCAGTGTTTCTTCCGGGTTGGATAGCTCTGCTGTGGGCGTAGACATGAAACTGCCTCTATTTGTGTGCACACCATCATCACGTCTTCTGAAAATGAGCAGGGAAAGGCAGGGATGAGTCAGACAACAATCTGACAGATGGCACTGACACTCTACAAGATGTTTTATTGTACAGGCAAAAACTACTAAGAGCAAATAAGGGAGCCATTTCATGGTCTAAAATAATTCATGTTTTTCAACAATACAACTGATTGAACAAAGTCATGTTTTTTTTTTTTTAGCCCTGTTCTAATCGGTTGCCCCTGTGTACCTTTTGCTGGTGCTGGATGGTGAGGCCAGGAAAGTGCAAGCCTCTGCACTGGCTGTGGGACTGAGTGGTTCCACCTGTGGCTTCTCTTCTGGGATCTCCAACATCTGACACAGCTCTTTAAAATCCATCACCTGGCAAAAGTATGGGTGCATATTATGCAAAATGTACTTTTAGCAGCTTTTAAATGTTATTCGAAACATTAACTCAGTCAGTTACGTCTTGAGCGATTCATGCATTTTAATGATCTTTACAAAGCAATGGCACCTCAAATGCAGGACAGTAAATTCGCAGTTTTTTCTACCACCATACGTACAATGCCCAGAGCCTTGTATCGCTCTTTTTTCTTTAACTGTATATGATTCTTTCTTTTTCTCTAAAAATATATGCAAAAAATACCTTTTCTTTACTGATACATCGGTAGGCCTCATCTTCAAAACGCTGTTTCACACCAGTAAGAGATACATGCCTGTAATCTTTGGGAACATCCTGACTGAAACTGTTAAAAAGAAAATTAAGGACCAATTACCATAAATGGCTCACAAATTAGTCACTTTTTGTCCAGTGTATTGTCCAGTGCATTGATATAAAAAAAAAATGCATACCAAAGAAAATGTGATAAACTGATACATTTATATCTGACGACATTTCACACACAAAAACAATTAATCACAGCAGTAACTACGTAGACATGTTTTCCTAGTAGCATGCCCTTACCATTTCACATGAAGCAGCAAACAAAGTGGAACAAGATCATCTTTGGAAAAGCCTGTGTAGTCAACTAAGTGGCAGGGCCAGATAGGTGCTGTGGACAGACAGCAGTTGTAGGTTAAAGTACAGTTAATGGTAGTTAAAATATGATCTGTGTTAAAATTCTTTGTACAAAAGATGGTTACCATAGTTATGTAGTGCTCGTGTCAGCAGCAGCACAGCACAGGCCAGTTTGGCAGGTGGAGGTGTGGCGAGTGCAGAGTAGAGCAGAGACAGTTCACAGATGTAACTGAACAAATGAGTGGTCCTCCTCTCCAAAGGTAGCAGAGACAGCAGAACCTCTCCATAATCCAGAAGGGTGGGGCTCTGAGTGCAGCATAATTGACTTGTTAGTTTATATTTAGATATAAAACTTCA